TCCCCTCCGAGTCTGTGTCCCCCCCCAGAGTCTGTATACCCCGCCGAGTCAGTGTCCTCCCCAGAGTCTGTATACCCCCAAAGCTGTGTTTTCAGTTGTATCTCTATCTCTGATACAGCTTCTTTATTTTTGCTTTTGTGTCTGTGACACCCAAACCCCTCCCGTTTAAAAGACGGCCCCTCCCTTGTCCAAATCCCAAACCTATATTTACTAATTCCAAAAGGGTGAAAGTATCACTGATTACGTCTGAGATCAGACCCGTGAGGTGGACATCGAGAGGTGACATTCACTCTCTGGCCTTTTGATGACATCACAAGGGGGGGGCAGAGATTTGAAGAGTGGGGGGCGAGGAATTAAAGAGAGGGTGCTTCCTAGGGAGCCACTTCCTTACTTTGCCGGTTTTGTCAGGATCCAGTTTGTCAAACTCAGCCTTCAGGTTCTGGACGCTCTCCCTGAATCTGTCCTTCAGCCATCTCTCCACGGCCACGGAGCCCCGCCTCTCCTCCTCGGCTTTGGACAGGCTCCGCTTGGGGTCTGCTGAGGGAGAGCAAAGCATGCTGGGTACAGAAGTGCACATCTTATACATGCCGCTATTACAGGCCTTGTTACTGACATTCTCTGCTTGTTCACCCATTATAGGTGTCAGACCTGCAATGGACTCCACTAAAGCCCAGAAAAACCAATTCAAACCAGCTACGAACGAGGCCTTTAGAAAGAGCACTTCATGCTGGGACTCCTCACTTCTATGGCAGGGGATAAATGGTGGGTAAAGTCGGGTCTGGTGCACTGTGCAGAATTAGACAACACTGCCCTCTCTGGGTCACATCTGGTAAATATAACTTCTATCATCACTTGAGAGAGGACGCTTTGGAAATTACCGGAAAATACAAATAATTGCCCTCAAACTGTGTTTTTCTTACTTTGTGCACAGTCAGCCTCCTTGGAGACTCGTTCGCCTATATTTCCACCAGAATTTGGCCTCTTTCTGAGATTGGCTCCAAGCTTCTTCAACATCGACTCTATCTTGATGGCTCCCAGTCCGCTTTCGTCATATCTGCAGGCGGGTAGAAATTCGACAGGACCAGCAAAATTCTGCATGTAATTCTAATTTTTCAGAGCAATGCCGAGTGCCTTTGAGCAGACCAAACCCAGGACACAAACCTCTTCCACAGCTTCATGAAGTCCTGACTCTCCATGTAGAGACCAAGTTCTTCCAAAATCTTCTTCAGCTGTGCAGCTGTGATCCAGCTGGACCCCTCGATGCCTTTCGACTGCAATGATTCTACCGCATCCAGAAATCTGGGTTGAGAAGCACAAAAATGCTGTTAGCACATATGCTAATATCACAACTCACCTGTACAAACCAACACGCATTTCACAGAGAGCCCTGCCCAGGAGAACAATTTTAAAGGTCTGATGAAGGCAGAACTAAATGGATACAAACTGAACTTTATCTCCCGGACACCCTCATTTGAATCATCTAGTGCCTTTAAATTAAAGGGACCTGGAATGATGTTCCACATAACAACGAAAGCACAAGCTCCCTGCAGAGAGTGACAGAGAACAATCAAGACTACAAGGCTTTACTGATCCCAGGCGGAAATTCTTCATACAGCAGCATGGTACATTCATACATGGTACATTCATACACGGTTCATTCATAAATGGTACATTCATACATGGTTCATTCATACATGGTACATTAATACATACATATACAGTACATTTATACCTTCATACACAGTACATTTATACCTTCATACATGGTACATGCATACATTCATACACGGTTCATTCATACATGGTACATTAATACATTCATATACAGTACATTTATACCTTCATACACAGTACATTTATACCTTCATAAATGGTACATTCATACATGCATACATGGTACATTCATACATGCATACACGGTACATTCATAAACTACATTTATACCTTCATACGCAGTACATTTATATACGCATACATGGTACATTCATACATTCATACACGGTACATTCATACATGGTACATGCATACATGGTACATGCATACATGGTATATTCATACATGGTATGAATTCATCATAAAGCAGCACAGTACATGCAGATTAAAAAAACAGGGTGAGAAAAGTTACACTGCAAAGACACAGTGCAGGGAAATTAACAGTGCAAGTACACGGTACACAAACATAACATCCTGAAAAAGATGTTAAGTAAGATGTCAAGACAGAAAGACAAATATATTAACGGATGGTATACACTCACCTAAAGGATTATTAGGAACACCATACTAATACGGTGTTTGACCCCCTTTCGCCTTCAGAACTGCCTTAATTCTACATGG